GCGCAAGCACCTGACGCGCCTGCGCGGGCTGGGACCCCGAATGGAGGACGCCGCCGGCCCCCTGCTGGACGGGCTCCGCCTGGACGACGACGGCCCAGAGGACTGAGTGAGGACTGCGCACGCGGGTCACCACTTTCATTTCAGCTCAGTTTAGAATGTTGCTTCCAGTATGAAGGAGTTACGTGGTTCTTAATGAAAAGGAAGAAAGAAAAAAAAATTCTGGTGAAGTATAGAAACTTGGAGGTGGAATATTCCCTCGTTTGTTCAGCACGTGGAAGTCTGTGTGACGGAAAGTATAGTAAAGGAAGGGACAGAAAAGTAGTAGACAAACTTCCCGTCTTTACATCGCTGTAGAGTAAGGAGATATAAACATGTGCTGTAATACACTATGGTGGATGTTTAGTTAATAAAGAGCATGGATAAAATTCCGCGGGCTGTGGTTCTAATTCTGGCACAGGTCTCCAGAGCTTATGTCACAGTGTTGCGCCGAAGGAACAGTGAATAAGGGGGTATGAGAAAAGGAAGGAGAGATTTTTAAGCTTAAAAAATGCTTGAAAAAACTATCAGAAAAATATTTGTTCAAGAGTAAAATCTAGAAAATAATCATAGGTTTTGGTAACTTATGCTTGAATATTCTGCATGATCTACAGAGTCTCAGTAGGTAGATCAGACTCATAGTGATCCGCCTGCAGCCTCCCAAGAGCTGGGAAAACAGGCCCGCGCCACACACCCAGTCTCAATCGCTGTGTCAGCACACCCCAAGGGTGGGACCAACACCGTGGGGATCGAACCCCAGCTGTGGCTGCCTAAGCAGGCACTTTAATCCACTGAGCTATTTAGCTGGCCCTTGTATTTGGATGTGTTCTTCACTAAAGAAGTAGGGAGCCTCATAAAAGCAGGGCACTGGAGGCATGGAGCCCTGACCATAGGGATAGGTCTGTCACTGTAGGTAGAGGCAGGTCACTCAGCACGTTATCCACCTCTGCCACCTATTAGCGACCTGCCCACTTTGTATCTCAGTAAGCACCTCAACCTATCTTAGATCCCAAGCAAATTAATCAGTCAGGTGTTGTGCATCATGCTTGCAGTAATATGTCCCCCCATTCTAAGAGTTTTCGTGGTGGGATGGTATCTAAGGGGGGGGCATGGCATGGGAGTTTCCTGAACCTTACAGGGCTAGACGGAGCAAAGAGTGGGGTGCTCCCTAGGCTCGTGCTGAGCTAGGAAGAGCACGTGCATGCAACCATGCACACCCTACAGAATACATCAAAGAAATGAGCTATTCAGCTGAGAGAAACTTCCATATCAGCAGTAGAAAAAAAATCTAGATTAACCATGGTAGAAGGAACTCAGTTAATTTAACAATCTTGTTATTCTACAGAAAATATTAAAAATATAAAAAATAATAAAAATAAAAAAATATCAAAGTGAAGGATCAATCAGTCTGCAGCCCAAAATGTTAAGAAAAGTGGTATGAACATATTCCAGGTTCCTGTGCAAGAGAAGGAAAGAATTGCCAAGCATACAGCTTGTAATTAGTAAGTAGCTATGTTTATTGAAGACCATGAGATAGTTGCACCAGGAATAAGCATAAGGGGAAAATGAACAGCAGCCCTCAGTGAGCACTAATACTGTTCAGGCTTCAGTATTTAAAGGTCAGGCACCACCAACTCCAGGTACCTTCCATTGTGGTCAGACGCCTTGAACTCCAGCTGGCTCCCATTGTGTCACTCACTGATATGGATGCCCTGCCGGCTTGGGCATCATGACCTCCTGAGCACCAGCGTGAGTGACTATTATGGTGGCATTGTGTTTGTAGTGGAACAAAGGGAAGGAAGTGGCTCCCCTGACTTTTCTATATCGTAAGACACAGATGGTACCCACAGAACCAGAGCCAGCCTTCCCAAGACCTCAGTGATAGTGTGAGCCCTGTGTTCAAAAATCAAAGAGTGGGCTGCATGTAGTGGTGCACAGCTGTGAGCCCAGCACTCAGGAGGCTGAGGCAGAAGAACCGCTGTGAGTTCGAGGCTGCATAGGCTACATAGTGAGTCAAGGTCAGCCTGAACTACATAGCAAAACCCTGTCTCAAAAAGACAAAAAAAGGGGGGAGGGGTGGGGCTTACAAAGCTGTGTTTTTAACACACTTGCATGCCCTCCTTCCTCCATGCCTTTCTTTCTTCCTCCTTTTTTTTCTCTTATTAAACTCAAAAGACAAATGATCAAGTTAAGAAATAGGCAGAAGATTTTCACATAGCCTTCACAAAAGCAGATTATAAGAATGGCTCTTAAGCATTCAAAGAGATGCTCAACATTGGGAGGCATCAGAAAAGGGCAAATCCAAACCACCATAAGATAACCCTTCAATGGCTAAAGTTGAATGTGTGACTGACAGTTCCAAGTATTGACAAGGATACAATATGAACTCTAACTTTATGTCTGCCAAAATGAAAGCCAGAGATAGCCAATGTTGTGTGATAGGGTGACAATGTCTTGTATGTCAAACACGTGGGTCACATGGCTCAGCAGTGTTGTGCTCCCATATTTATCCCAAAGCAAAGAATGCCTGTCTGTGCAGAGAAATGCACACAAGTATTCTGAATCCTCCAGCCAGAAACTGCCAAAGGGCTGCAGCATATTCACACATGGGATGCTAGTCAACAGAAAAGCAAACAGAGTATTGGTATGTGCAACAAGTGGGTGAATCTTAAAAGCTTCCTGTGAAAGAGATTATACATCATGCGATTCCATTTATGTGAAATCCTAGAAAAGGCAAAACTAGGGAGCTGCAGTTAGGGGTCTCATCAGAAGGCGGGAAGAGACCCTTTAGAGGAAAGAATTGGATATCTTGCTTCGGTGGGGTTTGTGTAGTTACCAAACTGCACCCTTAAGAAGGATGAATTTTACAGGATACAAACCGTCCTTTAAAAAAGAAAACCTCCCACAGGCTGGTTGTTTCAGCGCCTTTCAACCTGTTGTCCCCCAAGCACTGGCATGAGCAGACCTCATTACTGGAAACAAGGTCAGCCCAGGCTCTTGGCTTTCTTTAACTCTGAGCTGCAGAGCCAACTGACATTGACCGATTTCCAGTGGGTTCCATGGCGCGTCCCAGGCGGAGGCTGATGGAAACAAGCTTGTGTTTCTGTCGCTAATGATAGGAGCTTCATCGTATTCTCTGCCAGACCATGTTGGTTGTCATTGCACCCATTGAAGAAGAGAACAGAGCAATAATGAGCTGGGTGTTATCAGCTCACAAATAATTTATAATAGGCAAACTAGGACAGGAACAGAGCTTTTTTTGGCGAAGGAGGTTGCATGTCATTCTTTAAAATCTAGGCCAAAAAATTATTTATAATGCATAGACAGTTGCTCAGAAAGTGAAAGGTTTCTTTCTTCTCTCTTTGAATGCTGTGCCTCTTACCCTGAGCTGGCAAAAAGGGCCTCAGCATCTCCCTGCCACACCTGCCTCCTGCCAGTCATGCAAGACAGTTTGGCAAGAAGCAAGGCCTGTGCAGAAACCCCATAATCCCAAACCCAGGAGCCAGTAGGAAGAAAGCAGAAGTCAGGAGAAGGGGCAGACCCCCAGGAGAGACTGGTGACTGCACATGTTGTGGGCTTCAAACAGTGGCTTGTGTATGACCAGGAAATGGCTTAGAGTGGGAGAAGCCCATGCAAGAGGCTTTGTACATGGGTGTGCTGAAATACAGGCAGGTCGCATTGTGGTCAGAAGCAAACAGGGCATCCATTGTGACATTTAGGTAGAGAATGCTGGGGTGTGTCCCTGTGTTCCTGAGAGCTGTTAGGGGAATCAGGGTCTTCACTGATACTGGTGCCTATAGACATGGATTCCTGCCCCAAAGGAAGACAACCAAAGTCACCTGCATTGCTCTCCTCACCTCTTGGCCAGGATCCTCCTGAGGAGGAGTCAGCTCCCCAAAAACCTGGACTGTGCAGTCTGGGCTGCCTGAGCCAGCAGGCTGACCATGCAGGCAGCTCTGCCACAGTGGTCCCTACTTCCTCTTAGGGCTGGTGGGTCACAGAGGGGATCTGATGTGTTGCTAGGAACCACGGCCCATGAGCGGCACTGCTGCCTGGGCCTCCTCTATCGCGGTGCCAAATTCAGGACATAAGGTGGATGAGGACACCGTGTCGTGTGTTTCCAAGACTGCCTTTCTATTGGGCGACACAGCAGCATTCTCTGTAGTTTTTATCACATCTGGTAAAGACACTCATGAAAGAGGACTTCCAGAGCTGCTTCAGAAAGGGACAGGAACAATGGGATAAGTGTGTTTGAGGTGGAGGAGGGTTTTGAGAGGATCCATAACAATGTGTCTTGGGCTGGAGAGATGGCTCAGTGGTCTAAAGCACCTACTTGAAACAAGCTTGGCAAAGCCCAGGGACCTCGGTTCGATCCCCCAGCACCACATGCCAGCCAGCCCCGCCCCCTGGTGGGCTGAGCTGGCCACACACACACAGACACAATAAATAAATGTAATAAAAATAAATAAATATTTAAAAAAAAAAAAACAATGTGTCTTTTCCTGTAATATAATTTTTAATTTATACATCAACTATATTTTTTGCTTACACTGCATAGTTGGAACGAAATAGTATGTGGCTTTTTCAGCCTGGCCTTTTCAACCTACTAATAAGCATTTGCATTTGTTCCATATTAAAAACGTTCTGTCTCAGGCCAGGGAGATGGCTCAGTAGAATAAGCACTTTTCTGGCAAGTGCAAGGGCCTGAGTTCAATCGCCAGTTCCACCAAAAAAAAAAAAAGTTCTGTCTCCCCTCTCAGAATGTGACCACTGCACACAGGGCCAAATCTGTGAACCCGGGGTCTGCAAGTCTAGTGCAACATTTTTGTTCCCTGCTGCTCTGCTGTGACACACGGCCAATGTCTCTTCTTGCAAATCTCTGCTGAGGCAAGTGTGGTAGAGCAAGCATAGATAGAAAGCACCTGTTTCCTTGCAAAGCCTTAACAAAGCACCTGTGTTTCCAGAGCTTCAAGAAACAAGTCAGAGAAGAAGCGTCGGGACCAATTCAATGTGCTCATCAAAGAGCTCAGCTCCATGCTGCCTGGGAGCACGCGCAAGATGGACAAGACCACCGTGCTGGAGAAGGTCATCGGCTTCCTGCAGAAACACAACGGTAAAGGCCGAGCTGCTCCCATTTCTGTCCCACCCTCTCTCCTGGAGGTGGCATTGTCAGGCCAGGCCTCATGGGCACTCTCTCTGGCATGGCAATCCCTGTCACTCCCTTTCCAAGGCCCCCATCCTCCAGGGCACCTTCTGCTTATGCCCAAAAAGCAGGGGCAAGGGCACTGCCCTCTCAGGTGGCCTGCTCAGCCCAGCAACATCAGAACAGCCCCATGGGTAGCCCCATCTGGAGCAGGTGGCACTCCCAGTAGACAGGTCTTTGTCAAGAATCCCTGGAGCACACAAGCATTGAAACCCAAGTCAAAGCCAGCGTGGTTGGGCATGCCTATAATCCCAGCAGTCTGGGAAGCTGAGACAGAAGGATCAAAGATTGAAGCCTAGCCTGGGCAATGTAGCAAGACCCTGTCTCAAGAGACAAAATTAAAAGATCAGGAGATAACTCAGCAGCACACTATCTGCCGGCAAGCTCAAGATCCTAAGTTCAATTTCCAGTACCAAAAAAAGAGAAAGAAAGAAATAGAAGCTTCCCCGGGGTTTCCCTTTCCTACCACTTTTGCTTTCTCCAAGTGGAGCATCCATTCTGGCTTCCTCTACTATAGGAAGGTTTTACCTCTTGGGGTCTGACAGCTGGAAGAATGCATTTTGCCCTGATGCCTGTGCGAATCCTCCACATTTGTGTTCATGGGTAGATACTGTCCTATCATGCAGCACTTCCCCCTGAAGCCAGCCTTGAACTTGTGTCCCTCTCAGATCCCCATCTTTCTATTTACTGTCTGAACTCTTTCACCTCACTGTGCTGATCTCGCCTACCCTGCCACTCATCCTTCTTAGTAGGGAAAAAAAAAAAAAAAAAAAAAAAAACATTTAAATGCTGAGGAATACTTGAGAGCATTTGGGAGCTATTAACAAGCAGGAAGCTGAGAATTCTTTTTGCCTTAACCAAGACACCAAACATAATAGTCAGAAATGTCAGAATTATTGAGGAAGTAATTACAGTTCTCCTGTGCTGACGGTGAAGCTTCTGTTGCCCTGAACATCTTCTGAGACAGGATTTCATGTAAGAGGGCACTGCCGTGACACTGGGGGGTTTCGTTATGCTTGTTATTCTCTGCTTGTCCCTTGATAATTGTGTACGCCTGTTAAGAACGGGGCAGGGATGATGGATCCTCCTGGGTTTTTCCAGTATGATCCAAAGGAGAGGAAAGAGCATGTTCATTGCTTTTGTTAAAAGTCAGAGACCAATCAAGAGCAGGATTGGAATAAAGCATTAGCGATACTCAATTGCCCCATAATTTCATCAAAATGGTTACATTTCCTAAATGACGCTTTGGCCAAGTGAACTAGCAGGTTGGTTTGATGGCCAAGATATTTTGTGCAAATTGCTCAAAGTAGGTCAGTGACAGAGAAGCAGGACAGCTGTTAAGTAGGACAGCTGGGATCAAGTTCATCAGTGTGACACTTATGCTGGGCTCTGTCCACTGTGGACTTACAGAACTGTCAAGTCAGGAACCCAGCCAGGCCAGGTCAGCAGCAGCTCAGCCCGCTCGTACCAGGAAGGCTGGCCTGGTCTCACCACTCTGCGGGCAAGGCCGGCTGTGCATATCACAACAAATGGGGGCCTTAGGTCTCACACACCCTGTGATTCCAGGTCCAAAGCAGGCAGAAAATCCACTGGTTTAAGGCCAAAAAAACCAGATGCATGTTTTGACCAAAAAAGTACAGAAGCAAATGTTTCTCCTTTTTTAATATGTTATAGTAAAAGGCACATTGCCAGGACTCGTACTGAGGACCCTCCTCCTCCTCTTCACCTGGAACATATCTAACCCACCATCCTTGCCACGTTCTGAAGCAGTTCTAGAAAGCCTCTCTCCTGAGTGTCTTCACTTGTGATACTATGGCTGCCTCAGTGTTCTCAATTGATTCAAAATACTTACCTCTCGTGGTCATTTTCACTTCAGGGAAGAGCCAAAAGTCACACAGCTCCAGATCCAGTGAACAAGATGGCGCAGAACTCGGCGTCGTGTGCTCACGAGTCTGCCTTCGGTTGGTTAGATGACCTAGGCAGCAGCACTCTGTATTTTGTATCACACCTCGTGAAGACACTCGGGAAAGAGGATGTCCAGACTTGCTTCAGAAAGTGGCAAGAACGATGGGCTAAGTGTGCTTGAAGCCAGGAGGAGTGTTTTCAGGGGATTCATGGCAGTTGATACCTTTCACTGTGATAAAGTTTCAATAGAAACACTTACCACATATTTTGATCACATCCTGCACTCACTTTCCACATCATCCACATAGATATGAGCCCCAGGAGCTCCCAGGGTGGAGAATCCTGGCTCGGTGTTCATCTGGTTCCCCTGTGACCCCAAGATTGTGCTAAGGGCTCTGTGTATCATAACTTCCCTGAGCATCAGAGTAGCCCTGTGGTCCCATTATGTAAGTGACACATGGAGGGACAGGAGATGGAGTTCCCCAGCTAGGCCGTCAGGAAGATGAGGACTCTAAGTCTAGCAGCTCTGTGTTTATGCCCCTTCTGCAGAAGAGGGGTGGGGACCCTCAGAGACAGTTACGTCGTGGCTACATTATTACATCTATTTATGCTGTTGGTCCTCAACTGTGGCTGCCCATTGGAATCACCCAGGCAGCTTTTGGAGAAATCCTTAGAGCCCTGTAAAGCCCACAGAGCAATGCCCCAGATCTCTTGGCGGGGAGGGGCCGTGTGCAGGAGACAGCTCCTGACAGCTTCAGGGATGATTGCTACATGCTCAGTTTTGCAAGCCAGTTGCATCAATTTGGTAACTTGAACTCAACCACAGTAGAAGTATTTACCCAGAAGTGGGCCAGCTCTCCAGATCTGGGCCTTGTGTGGTGGGGGTGAAGCACTATGTAACAGCAGACCATCAGGGGAGGCTGCAGGACACGGACCCCTCCCAGGTGGCTCCCGTGTACAGCCAGGGTTAGGAAGTGGGTTTTCTTTCTGCCTTCAGGCTAATGGCAGACCCCAGAGGGGTGAGAAAAGGGGGTTATGGCCCAGAAGTTATAATTATTTAGCTCTTTTCCCAATAACCTTTCAAGCACCTCTTTTTCTTTGCTTGGGCCATAAATCTTGATGATGACACACACATATATTCTCTTAGAGGTAGTCCAAATCAAAGCAAGAATCTGACCATGTTTCCGTGTAGTGAGGTTTTGTGTCAGTGATTTCTCTTACAAGACAAGCTCCTGAATTCTATAAGTATTGTGAACATTAGACATGACCACCCACATCCTTTGGAATGCAGAACCTACAGGAGCAGATGCCCACACATCCCCCCTCCTGTGTGAAAAGCCAGCTGGTTTGATGAAATGTATCCCCCTGTCAAATCTTATTTCTCCTCCAGCCTCTTCAATGCATCTGCATTTGTGGCTGGCAAGGGGGAAGGGACAGAGGATCATCCCTTGGTCAGACAATATTTACCCACCCCTGCGCTGGGTTTCTGCCCATATTCCAGCTTGTCTTTGACCACATGCAAAATGCCCTGCCCCTCCTCTCATTCAGACACACAGGCAGTGATTGAAAATGAACACACTACATGTTCAAGTTCCCCCAGAGGAGAACCTGGGTGGCTGGCTCTCCACTGTAATGTTTTTTCCTATAAAAAATGACCGCCAGTTGTTCCTCCTTCTTTACTATTTAGAGATCACCAGCATCAGACTTCTTCGCTATTTCTGCCCTGGTACCTGTAGATACCAGTGGAGACATGATGCTCATAACAGTTTTTGCTTCCTTTGAGACATCTTATCTACGTATTTTTGATGTCTTGTAACTCGCTCCTTGGGTTTCAGGACTATAATGAATTACTGAACTGCACAGTGACTGAGAGGTTACTTCAGGCCTACTGGGCCTAGCTAGCCATCACAGGGTGATACACAAGTTACTTTCGTCTGTGGCTCCTTCATTTCCCTTCACCATGTTGAACAGCCCTCAACCTAAATAAAATTTTGGCTGCTGGAGACCTGAGCTATCTCCAGTTTGATGCTACTGGTCACAAAAGCTTTTCAGGGAGAGTACAAAGTGTGATCAAAAACTACAGTGGATGTTTTAAATATTTTTAATTGATTACAGTAAAAGACACATTGCTGTGAATCCTCTCAGAATGCTGCCTTCAGTTCCATTATACTTTTCCCATCATTCTTGCCACCTTCTGAAGATCTCTGGAAGTCCTCTCTGCTGAGAGTCTTTACAACTTGTGAGTAAAATACAGCAAGTGGAGCTGGGAGATGGCTCAGTAGAGTAAGTGCTTGCCTTGTAAGCGCAAGGGCCTGAGTTTAATCCCTGGTTCCGCCAAAAAAAAAAAAAAAAAAAAAAAAAAAAAAAAAAAAAAAATACAGCAAGTGCTGCTGCCAAGCACCATCCAATAGAAAGGCAGCTCCTAAAACATGATGCTGTGCCCCACCTTCTTCGCTGGATCTGGCACCATATGACTTCTGCCTCTTCCCCAAAGTCAAATGACTCTGAAAGGTAAACATTTTGGATCAGTTCTAGACATTTGAGGCAACCACTGTAGCAAAACTAAGGACATTTAGGAAAGAAAACTTTGAGAACTGCTTCAGAAAGTGGCAAGAAAGATGGGTAAGAGTGTTTGAAGCAAGTGAGTCTGACTGCCTCTCATTTGGGTTGGGAAGAAGGAAGAGGATGTACGTGCATTCCATCTCTTTTCTAAGTGGTCAAACTGTGGCAGTCATTTGTGTGACGACCTGGGAGTATCACCCTTTCTCTCCTGCCTGGGCAGCACCCCAGGATACACAGTGGTCAAGATGTATGTGTGGTGCCTGTCTCAGCTTCCCAGCATGCATTTCACCACAGGCATCATGGCGCCTCTTCTAAGTCAGCCCTAGTCAGTACTACTGACTCCCCCAAAGCCAGCATGGTTTCCTCTCCTGGATTTCTTCCCATATTCATCTGCCAAAGCTCTTAGCAGCACTTTTGTGTTCCTTTAAAAACCACAAAGGACAATAAATCCAATCTTTCAGAAGGACAGCTGAATGTTTTTCTTTCAGACACTAGAAGGAAGAAAACTTCCCAGTACCGCTTGGCGTTGACAGAAACCTTAGATGACGGGTGGAAGGGGGAAGAGTTGTCACGTGTGTTACTAGGCCCTCCCTCCTGCTTGTTTATGAGAACCTGCAGCATTTGTTCAGCCTCTGTCATCCACACAGCAGAATTCAGTGCTTTGTTCCATCCACCTAAGAGAGGCGTGGCCTGTCCCAGAGCGGGTGCTTTGCATGCACGAGGCCCTGGGTTCTATCTTTAGCACTACAAAAAGAGAAAGAAAAAATGCAAGGGAGAGAGCCTTGAAATCTTTCTCCTAAAGTGGCTAGATTAGCTGCCTGAACAATTTGCGTTTCTCCAGGAAGTTGTTCAGCAAGTTAGTTTTATTCTCTGGGGTATAGGTTATGTGGTTTAATAGGTTTTTAAGCACCAAGAAAATAATCTGTAAAGAGACCTCTTGGCACATAAGGTAGAGAAAAGCGTTAGCTTGAGATGTAGAATAGACAGAGAAAAAGATCCCCAATATCCAAGATAGCACATTTACGCTATCTGTAATAATCTTATCAGCAATAACTTGACAATAAAACAAACTACATTTTGAAAATTGCAAACAAGCTGGAAGATGTAAGGGTCCTACGTAGGCCAGTGATTATTCAGCTGGCAAGTCCGACAGCCCCGGTTCAGGGTGGTTACATTAAATGGATATAGCTTATGCCCACGTCTTGGGAAGGGTAAGCGTGGTCCTTAAAAACAACTAAGCAGTGTGTATTTTTATAGCACATTATAGCTCACTAATGGAAATGCTGAAAAATCTGTTACATCCTGCATGATACAATGAGATATTTACTGTAAATCTAGATGTTTCTGGAATTTAGTGGGGTTCCTCCTCCTCCTCTTTCTCTTCCTCCTCCTCCTCATCTTCCCTCTCCCCTGTCTTCCTCCTCCCCTACCCCATTCCCCTGTTTCTTCCCCTCCTCTTTTTCTTGGCGTACAGGGGACCAAACCCAGGGCCTTACAAATGCAAAGCATGCGCTACACCAGCTGTACCACCAAGCTACACTCCCAGCCCTTAGAATTTTGAAAATCCCAGGTCTCTAAAGTGTTTTGCTTTGCTTTGACCATGAAGAAACAGCTTAAGAAGGTGCCCGCCTGCCAGCCCAGTCTTTGTTCCCCTTGCCTTGATAAGGGACATCTACTTGATTGGAAGGGCACAGTGCCACTTGCAGCCACCTAGGCTGAGGATGGGGGCTCACCTCCCAGAGGCTGCATTTAAAGGAGGTGAAAAGACCGAAAGTATCTTCAACTCCGTGATACCCAGAGCTCCCAGTCCCTGGAAATCAGGGTAACATATTTTCTGGTGTTGGCTTCTTTAATTAAATTGCACAGAGCTTACACAAAACCATATAGAAGTAAACATGGGTGTCAGTTGTTCGTTCCAGTCTCTAGGTGCCCTTGAACATAAAAGCTTATTTGTGTTTCATTTTGTTTTTAGAAGTATCGGCACAAACAGAAATCTGTGACATTCAGCACGACTGGAAGCCTTCGTTCCTTAGCAATGAAGAATTCACTCAGCTGATGTTGGAGGTGAATGCCCGTTCCGATAGTTTAACGGGATGCAAATTAAATTGCCCCTACTTGTCCCTGATAGACCCCTGCGCCCAAGGGAAGCCACCAGTGTTGACCCTGAAGGGCTGCGAAGAGGCTGTGCCTGCCTTGCTCGTGTTTACAGGCCTGAGCTGAGTGAGGAAAGCAGGACTTCTCAAGCTTGTGGGGGCTATGGCTTGCATCTGGGGCCCCAGCAAGGAGGAGGGCAGAGGCAGATGGGGAGGAGGAGTGACAATCGCCGTGTTCTGCACTTGCCACTCAGATGCAGAGACTGTATTTGCCCCTTAATAGAAACCCATTCGGAATACAGGGCTTCTAAAGTTCTCTTCTGCCTTGAGCTCATACTACATTTGCGGGGCCGAGGATGAGCCCAGGGACCTGAGCGTCCAGCCAGCCCAAGCCCTTGCTGCACTAAGACACCAACGTCCCCGCCTGTGGATTGGCTGCCCGCATCGCCTGCAGGGTCATAGAGGCCTGGCCTTCAGGGCAAGTGGCCTCCCTGGCACTGCTCGCTGATCCATGGGTGGCCCTCAGGCCGGCAGGAACATGCCTCCTCTACAGAGCATCTCCCTGTGTGCTCTGGCTTCCTGCCCGACAGCAGGCCTGGGAGGGCATGGACACCACCGTGAGGGCGGAAAGCCTCCGACACGCCCTATCCTGGCTCTTGACTGAGGACGGCAGGCACAGGCCAGTGCAGCAGGAAGTGTCCTGGCAGGGTGATCGGGGGTGGCTGCTTAGGGCAGATCTTTCTATATCTCAACTATGCGCCTTTACCAGACTGATGTAAACTTCAACTTACATAAATTCTGCAGAAAACAGAAAGTACTGGAATAAGAAAATGCCTGAATGAAGATGTCCAAATATTATGAAATATAAATGCATTAATGAACATTTGCATAAAATGAAAGCTACTTAACGCTACATGGGAACTATATTTAAAGAAAATACAGAACTTGCTGCAGAGGCAGTGCATTTTAAGTATGTTAAATTTAAAACAGCTTATGAGCTATAATGCTGAATTAATGCATCATTGTGCTACTTGATGTACATTGATTTATCTTTCCATTCTTATGGAAAAGTACTTAAAACACATAACCTCCTGGCATCAGCCTCTTTTTTAAGAGCTGGTAGCACCCACAGCCTTTTCCCTTTTTCCAGTGAGTTTCAAAGTAGCAAAGGAATTTGAGGAAACCAGCTTTCATAAAGTTAAACACGAATGTATTTCTGGGCAGGACTAAATTCAAGAGATTGGAGTGTCTAGAAAAAGATTTTCAGATTCATCTGCAGGGTCTTCGTGGTCTCTGTGCACCTGCTCCGGTGGTGACGCCTGAACACACTGGGGCAGATGAGCTGGCTCTGCGAGGCGGCTGTGCAGCCAGCGGCCTCTGAGTCACAGCTCCGGCTTGAAGTCCACCAGCTGGTGCCTTTGAATTATCTTGGGCCGGGTGAGGCTGCTACCCCGTGGCTCTTCAGTCACAGACCTGGCATCGGTGACCAGGCTCTCCCGCCCCCTCCCTAGCAGCCTGAGACGCCCATCCCTACCCCATGACCCCTCACAAATAATGTCATCATTTTAGCGATCGCACTCCAGATGTGCGCGCTGTCTGCTTCCCAGAGCCATTTCAGAGGTCAGAAGGGCCAGACACAGTGTCTGGGACCCAGAAGATCCTTTTTCCCAACAAGGACAGAATCTAGGAGAGAACCTGTTCTGCTCCTGGGAACCCTGATGCCTCTGGGTGCGAGTCCCTCCATCCTCTGCCTCTGTCTCTCACAAGACATGAGACTCGGGAGGACCCACACAGCTCTGCGGGTTGGAAGAAGAAAATCCTCAGGTGGCCGCCCAGCACCTATGGCCACGTGGGAGGGCCCAGCGCTCGGACAGGTCGACTCAGTGGACAGAAAGCTCCCACCGGCCAGGACTCGGGAGTTCGTGTTGCTGAATTTAATCAGGAAAGCCACAGTGATCTGTTCTCTCAGCGTAGTCTCAGAGACCGTCATGAGAACCCAAGACGGAGCCATCAGATTGAGAGGCTTTGTGTGGAGGGGGGCTTTATTTCTGTCTGCCATGTGCAGGCATAGAACTCTGGCCATGTGTGTCCCAGCTTAATGTACCACAGTGCTCGCTTGTGGTGTGGTGGCCACGATGGCCTTGCTCAGATGCCTCGGCAGGGCTTCCAAAGCCAGGACGTGCCTCCTCAGCACCGTGGCCTGGCGTGGTTCTTGTCCCCTTATGGAAGATGCCAGTCCGCAGATGAAGAGCCCCTGTCTACAAATACCTTCAGCTTTCACACCCACATGCTGGACGAATTCAACAGGGACCTGGGCTCGCTGGGCAGAAAGATCTTGTCAACTCCTGCTCTTCCCAGCCCTTCAATCTGCGTTTTCCAGAAAGGTCCAGATGACATCATCCGTAGTCCTCCGCCCTTGATAACAGTCACCTCCGCAGTGCTGTGAAGAGTGGAGAACAGCATGGGGGTGACCAGAGAGAAGGGTGGCAAGAGGTCAGTCAGGGGACAGTGAGTTACAGGGAGAAGGGAGCCAGAAGTTCTCCCTGCACCATTGCACAGGAAGGTAACTGTAGAAGATGTGTGCTGCATTTTGCAAAGCTAGAAAAAAGGATTATGAGTATTTTTGCCATAAAGAAACAATAATTGTTTGAGGGGAGAGATATGTGCAACCATATTTAACCATCATATTATCTGTACATGTATTGAAATGTCACGTGGTATCCCATAAAAGATACAGTTTTTATGTTTTTGTATGATCGGTTAAAATTTCCATGTGGCCGTGGTGGTGCACACCTGTAGGCCCAGCACTGAGGAGCCTGAGGCACCAGGAGCACCATGAGTTCAAAGCCAGCCTGTGCTTCATAGTGAGTCCAAGCCTGGCCTAAATGATATAGTGAGAACCTATCTCAAAAGACCAAAAAAAAAAAAAAAAAAAAAAAAAAAAAAAAAAAAAAAAAATTACTTAAACTATATATATATATATATATATATATATATATATATAGCTTAGCAAAATATTTGAGAAAAAAAAAGCACAGCTGGTGGGCTGCTACCTCAGGAGGGCTCTTCCTCCTGTGTCCGTAATCCATGCACGAGTCCAGCGTCTCGGCCTCCGCACAACAGACATTTTGGGCCCTGTTCTTGGATAAGGGCCTGTGCTACGCATTATGGGATGTTTTTCTATTTTTTAAATGGGATGTTTTGTAGCATCCCCAGCCTACCTGGTGGGTGACAGCACCACCTATTCTAGTAATGGCCAGATGTCGCCTAGTTGAGAGCCACTGATATAATCTGCTTGGGTATTTTGTTTGTCACTTTTGTGACCGGATGTCGTTTTGCAGTTCAGGCTGGCCTTGAGCTCACTGTGTAGCCCAGGCTGGCCTCACAGTGACCTTCCTGCCTCAGCCCCCTGAGAGCTGGGTTTCAGGCGTGCGCCACTGGTGGCGTCCTGCCCTCTGCTGCTATCTGTGAGGACGAGATTGGAGCACCATGCCTGACATGCTTTTCAGTTTTAAGATTCAAGGACATCAGTGTAAAGGGACATCCTGGCCTTGTGTGGGTTCTCCCAGGGAGGGGCGCTCTGCCCTGGTCCCCAGTTCTCTGCACACAGTGGGTGGCCTGTGTCCAGTCCCTCCAAGCTGCAAAGGTGTCCTCCCCTGGCCAGGTGCATCACCAGAGGATCTAGTGGAAGGCGAACAGTATGCTTCCAGGGCTTTCTCTAAGCACCTACTTCACGTTCCTCCTGAAAGGAGGAAAACTTCCAGACCTGAGGGAGCTGATTTTGCAGGATCCAGTGACAGGTGCACATTGGGTACCCACCCGGGCATCCACACATAATTACTCCCCAGCAGACTGGCTAGCTGGTGAGGGGACTTCATTTCTAATCCCTTCCATCTCCCTGGTTCTCCCAGATGACAGCGCAACCACTTTCTCAGCTGAGTTAACATAATCTGATTTCAGAAATCAACTTTGAGATGAGTCTTCCAGGAAAAGCATTGTAAATTCCCACTTAAAATTCATCTCAAAAAAAACCCTCTAAAACCAGGACTGGTGAGATAGCTCAACAGACTAAGTGCCTGCTTAGGCAAGCACAGAGACTGAGGTTTGATCCCTGGCACCACCCAGCCCTACCCCTGGGTGCACTGAGCCAGTGACCAAGTCTGGGCATGGTGGCATATGCCTGTAATCCCAGCACTGGAGTGGCTGAAAACAGAAAGATCACTGCAAGTTTGAGCTGCGCAGTGAGACCCTGCACAACATACAAAAACCCTCTAACGGCAAGAGCACCTGCCATGTGAGAAAGCATTGTCCAGCGTAAATATTTCACAGTACAAGTGCCCAGGACATCATACCCAGCAGACAGAGGGACTCAGCAGATACCTGAACCTGAAGGAATGTTCTCCAATAACCCCTTCACAGCCTGGGAATGATGCTAATCCTGCAGGGGCTCCTCTGCCAGTGGGATTGAGTGCAGGCAGGAGGCCACCTTGGCCAGTTCTATTTGTACAGCATTGATGTGGTCTAATATTTTGCAATAAATGTTTACCGCTGAACTCAGCAGGATCTTGCAGGGAGACTCAAAGCTCCTGCAGATGTCTTTGGGGGAATGATGAGGTTTCCACTTCAGCTCAGTAGTGTTCCTGATCTTAAACCCACTGAAGCAATTTCCACGGCTAAATTTTATTTATGCTACCGAGGGCTGAACGTTTCCACCAAGCCTATAGTGTGTTGGCAAGCACTTTTCCTGGGATGGGCATCTCTGCAAACCTCCTGCATGCAAGACAGAAAAGGGGTCTAAAACTGTTCAGGGAAATATTCCGAGGTTTACAAAACAAAGCCCGTGTCAGAAAGTAGGCCCTTGGTCTTGGTGAGGTGAGCCTCTACAAAACCTTGAAGTTATAGGGCCGGCTCTGTAGTTCAGGGGCCAATGCGCCTGCTGAGGCCGAGCGCAGCAGCTGGGGCTGCATCCCTGGCTTGCTGTGCCAGCCCCACCCCCGGGCATGCCGAGACTTGATTGCGACTGCATGTAGTGGCGCATGCCTGTAAGCCCAGCCCTTGGGAGGGAGGCTGAAAACAGGAGAATCACTGTGAGTGTGAGCTACATAGTGAGACGCCGTAGACCCTGTCCTAAACACATTAAAAAGAAAAGAACTCCAGGCTCTTTATAGGTAAACAGATGCAACTAGATGCTCATAAGTGAAATACATTGAACCCACATGTGCAAACATCGTATTGTCTCCATGTAAGAACCTGAAAAAGCAAACCAAATAAAATCCGAAAGGTACAACAGTTACAATGGGAAGGAAAAGCTGAGATGAAGAAAAGGACCAAAGAAAAAAGGAGAGCCGGCGAGAGAGCTCAGTGGACTGAAGTGCCTGCTTAAGCAAGCAGCGGAACTGAGGTTCGATCCCCGGCACCACACGCTGCCCCCGCCCCACCCTCAGGGTGAGCGGAGCTGGCCAGGGTCTGGGCATAGTGCCGCACACCTGTAACCCAGCACTGGGGAGCCTGAAAACAGGAGGATCACTATGAGTCTGAACTGTATGGTGAGACCCTGTAACAACCAAATACATTTTTAAAAAAGGAAGGAAGGAGGGAAGGAGGGAGGAAGGGAGGGAAGGAAGGAAAAGAAAGAAGAAAAATATTTTTATATATATTTTGAATATATTTTTATGTAAAGTTTGGATAATTGTAC